CGACTGTAGCTTTTTTTTCCCCCAAAACTTTGTCTTCAAAATAAGGGTGCGTCTTGTATTCCGAAAAATACGGTACTCTTGGATCATGCCTGGTGAACTATGGGGTGTTTTAGCCTCCCTTGGTAAGGGGTTTACACCATATAGATAAGAACATCCCAAGCCTAGAGCAACCTTGAAACCCTAATCTTAGATGTCCATCTTGCCTGGTGACTTTCTGGGTGCGTTTGAGCCAACTCGAGACCAAGTTTGTTTTTGCTAGCTCCAGAACTGCGGGAGAACTTAGCTGGACACACATGTATTCATACAAAGCTACAAGCTACTGTCACGTGACTGTTGGGTGAAATGGTTGTTAAATTACTATTTATTTACCGAAACTTATACATAAGATCGATGAAGAAAGGTTATTAGTAAGATACGAACACTTGGAAACGTTACCCACCTAGACTTGTGAAGAGCTGTGGTGAAGGGCTGTCTGTCTTTTTGCCACTTAATGACCACAGGCATCTCACCAAAAGCTTCACACGTTAAATTCACAGACGCCCCCTTCCTTACTGTGATGGACTGGAACTCCGTTGTTACATATGCAGGGACTAGAGTAGAGTCAAGAGTCGAGGACATTGATGGTTAAAGTTGTTAACAAGAATTAATTAAGTTCACTCACACTTTCATTCTTACGAATAAAGTTAACAGTGGATGTATTACTAGAAGTTACAACAGACGTAACAGTAAACACTGTGAAGTTTACAGTGGATCTATTACTAGAAGTTACAACTGACGTATCAGTAAACAATGTGAAGCTAACAGTGGATCTATTACTAGAAGTTACAACAGACGTAACAGTAAACACTGTGAAGTTAACAGTGGATCTATTACTAGAAGTTACAACAGACGTATCAGTAAACAATGTGAAGTTAACAGTGGATCTATTACTAGAAGTTACAACAGACGTATCAGTTAACAATGTGAAGTTAACAGTGGATGTATTACTAGAAGTTGCAACTGACGTATCAGTAAACACTGTGAAGTTTACAGTGGATCTATTACTAGAAGTTACAACTGACGTATCAGTAAACAATGTGAAGTTACCAGTGGATATATTACTAGAAGTTACAATAGAGGTATCAGTAAACACTGGATCACGGAGCTATGTTTTATTATGAACGTTAATCTTTAACAAAAAGCTATATTTTACAGTGAGTGTTAATCTTTAACAAAAAGCTATATTTTATAGTGAGTATTAATCTTTAACAAAAAGCTATATTTTATAGTGAGTGTTAATCTTTAACAAAAAGCTATATTTATAGTGAGCGTTAATCTTTAACAAAAAGCTATATTTTATTGTGACCGTTAATCCTTAACAAAAGCTATATTTTATAGTGAGTGTTAATCTTTAACAAAAGCTATATTTTATTGTGAGTGTTAATCTTTAACAAAAAGCTATATTTTATAGTGAGTGTTAATCTTTAACAAAAAGCTATATTTTATTGTGAACGTTAATCTTTAACAAAAAGCTATATTTTATAGTGAGTGTTAATCTTTAACAAAAAGCTATATTTTATAGTGAGCGTTAATCTTTAACAAAAAGCTATATTTTATAGTGAGTGTTAATCTTTAACAAAAAGCTATATTTTATAGTGAGCGTTAATCTTTAACAAAAAGCTATATTTTATAGTGAGCATTAATCTTTAACAAAAAGCTATGTTTTACTGTGAACGTTAATCTTTAAGAAAAAGCTATATTTTATTGTGAACGTTAACTTGTAACACGGAGCTATGCTGTACTTACTGTGAACATTAAGCTGTATCACTACGCTTAGACTTGGGGTTATCCCGTTGTTTGCCTGACACATGAAGCTTCCAGAATCATCTACATCTACTCCTCTCAATACGAGGGATCCATTTTCAAGGATCTGTATGTGAGGGTTACTGATAACCGTTCGAAACGATCCTGAGCTCCCTACTCAGTAAAAAAGCATAAAACATCGATTATGGAAAATATATTTCTAAAAATATTTCAAGTGTATATATGAAAAAATACAAGTAACCTAGTTATAAGGTGACGAGATGAAAGAGTGAAGAAAAAAACCCAAGTAGATTTCAAAAGGTCGATCGTTTGCGAATAGCTGGCTCTTCTTGTTTAGGAGCAGTAAGAAGAAAAGTCAACTATTCGAAAGCACTGAAGCTTTTGAGTCTTTTCAAATCTATAAGTGATAATGCGGAAATTTGACGCCTTAAGTATGTGTTCAATGTTCCATTTTTGTAATATATATTTATCGGCGAGTATAACAATATGATCTGATAAAGCTAAAAATTGTGTTAAAACTGTACGAAGTGAGGATTTAGTTTTGTTTTATAATTTAGTAATGGATTATTATGCTATCTTTTTATCAATCGTACTATCAAGTTATAGTTTAATTATGTGAATGTTTGACATAACCTAAAGAACCGAAATTCTTGTTTTGATGTAACTATAATAATATTTATTGAAAAAAGAAACTTAAGAGACTCAGAAGTGGCAACGATATTCTAACTAAAGTTTTGGAGGTATTCAACTAATGGTAGCGTTTACCACAATGGTTAGTTTCAGATAAGATGGTTATTATACATTAGACGGTGCTGACATCTGTGGAGTAAAGAAATGTCCATATTTACAGGTAACAGTGACATCTAAAAAATGTTTAAACGAACTCAACAGATTTACATATGATGTACAAACTGTTCAAAAACACCAAATTCTATCATTTTTAAATGAAACTTCCTGGTGTGAGGACTGATCGATTCGCAGATAGTGATTCATCTCTAGACAAAACTTATATTTATAGCTTGAATTTGTCTGTTTGTCTGGATGTTATCTTCGACTAGCAGTCTCTGTTTTTTAACAGATAGACTAATTGAAAGGCAGCTAGCCAAAAGTACCCCCTCCAGCTTTTGGACTACACTGATCGAATAATTGGATTTCACTGTCACTCTTATAACGCATCTACGATCCCAACGAGCGCAGCGCGATTTTGTGGCACTATTTTGCGAACCATGGAGACTCGGATTCGAATTTCGGTACATTACCTTCTAGTATAACGCCCACAGCGACATAATCAGGAAACTAAGAATATAAGTTACTAATGCATATAAGACAATTATTTCTATTAAGCCTATAATCTGTTCAGTAAACGTTTTACTGTTTGACTGACCTTGGTTTATCTTCCACCTGATTTGAGGACTGGGGAATCCTCCAGCCTGACAGTCAATGATTATCGTTTCTCCTTTGACCGCTGATAGGTCAGTTGGTTGAATTTTCCAAAATGGGGGAACTAGAAAGCAATAGTCATATGAGAAAGTTCTAAGTCAAAGTTTTAATTTTCAAGCAATAATAACCTTTGTTTGACAAAATAAAAGGGCACTTACGAGCGACGCTTACAAACTAATGAGATCACATCTGACTGGACAGCGAGAGATGATGAAAAATAGTTCACATGAATTTCACGTTTAAGATCACGTAAGCGTTGATAAAGAAATTTGTAATAAATGAAACGTAAAAACTGCCACTGTAAACAATGAAAACGTTTACAATTAACAACCGTGAACGTAGCTACTGTAAGCAATAAAAACGTTTACAATTAACAACCGTGAACATAGCTACTGAAAGCAATAAAAACGTTTACAATTAACAACCGTGAACGTAGCCATTATAAACAATGAAAAGGTTTACAATTAACAACCGTGAACGTAGCCATTATAAACAATGAAAACGTTTACAATTAACAACCGTGAACGTAGCCATTATAAACAATGAAAACGTTTACAATTAACAACCGTGAACGTAGCCATTAGTAAACAATGAAAACGTTTACAATTAACAACCGTGAACGTAGCTACTGTAAGCAATGAAAACGTTTACAACTAACAACCGTGAACGTAGCCAGTGTAAACAATGAAAACGTTTACAATTAACAATCGTGAACGTAGCCACTGTAAACAATCAAAACGTTTACAATTAACAACCGTGAACGTAGCCAGTGTAAACAATGAAAACGTTTACAATTAACAACCGTGAACGTAGCCACTGTAAACAATGAAAACGTTCACAATTAACATCCATGAACGTAGCTACTGTAAGCAATAAAAAAGTTTACAATTAACAACCGTTAAACAAATAACACAGCTAATCTATATCTATGTTGAACAGAAAGGTACCGTTCACAACCATTGTGGCCGTGTAGTTGACAGTGGTCGCGGAATTACTAGCTACGCAGGTATAGTTCCCGCTGTGTTTGAAATGGGCCGACTGGAACACCAGAGTGGAAGTGAAGTCGTTCAACATCTCGACTGTGACACCTTCTTCGGGCTGTAAAGGTTCCCCGTCTTTTAACCAGGTTAGAGAGACAGGAGGGTCTCCTGCCACCACGGCACAGAACACTACGCTTCTCATTCCCTCCTCCAGGTCCTCAGAGAAACGAAACGGGTCAATCTTCGGCGGAACTATTGAAACAATGGCTCTAACTTAACACCTCATCGAAACTGTTTACAAGTTAATAATATAGAAGGACAATTAACATTAATAATGCCTGCAACTAAGAACTTGAAACAAAAATAGAATAATACACACAAATATAAGTATAGCCATACAACGTTTCGACTCTTTGAATATAAAACTAATTAGGCACATTAGAAAATACAAGATGAAAAAAAAATGTTTTAACTGTGTGAAACAAAAACAACATAATTGAATACTTATAAACGTTATCAATGGAGGTGAGGAAATTATATAAAAATATTTATTTTTATAGAAACATTATATTTATAAGGCCGTTTATTAGAAAATCATTTTACAGGAAACGTTGCTTTAAAAGAAATTGCGTTGGAGAACTGTGGTGTACTTAAAACGTTATAATGTGATAGGCCTAACTAAATACATCAGTAAATCCAACAGTTAAACTGGCATTTTTATCGGAAGACAGAATATTTAAGTTAATGCCAGAAAGTTAAAACTTCTATTTCTGAAGGTTTTTTTTTCTTACATTTTAACAGCAGTTAAAACTCGTGTTTATAACAAAACTTAGGTCAATTCCAGGAAGTTAAATTTTGTATTTGCGAAGCTTTTTTCATTCTAACAGCAGTTAAAACTGCTATTTATAACGATATTTAAGTTAATTCCGAAAAGATAAAACTTGTTTTTGTGAAATTTTTATATTTTAACAGCAGTTAAAAACTCGTATTTGTAATGATATTTAGGTTAACGCCAGTAAGGCTTTACTAACATAACAATCCTAGGTGCTGAATTAACCAAACGTACTTATTTTGGAAGTGACGAGTACAATAAAGATATAAAAAATCTCACTTAATTAGGCCTAAATATTGTTGCGTCA